GCGCCCTGCCACAGGAGCTCTTGGGGCGTCGCTGGGGCCGTGCAGATGCTCTGCGCCTGCTGGCAGGGTACGAGACCGCGAGCTGCTCCCCCACCACTGGGCTTGCTCAGCAGAGCAGCCACTCCTGCCCTTCCAAGCCGTGCCTAGTTGTGACCCTCACACCGGGACAGACAGGGCTGATGCCTTGGTTGCAGGGGTCCTTCCTCCTGCAGGGCTGGACGAGTGGTCCAGAGGGCAGTGCCTGGCCTGGAACCCAGGCTCACTGCTGCCTGGGTGGTGGGAGCTGTTGTGTTCCTGTTACTCACAGCAAGACCAGTCCTTGCTGGGGGTGATTCCCTTGCTAAAAAATCACTCTGATGTTCACTTGATATAGGAGAGGAAGAGAAGGCGTCAGAGCTGGAAGAGCTGTATGGAGACATTGATGCTCTGGAGTTTTATCCGGGCTTGCTGCTCGAGAAACCCCAACCCAATGGTATTTTTGGGGAAAGCATGGTGGAGATCGGAGCTCCGTTTTCCCTGAAGGGGCTTCTTGGAAACCCCATCTGCTCCCCAGAGTACTGGAAACCCAGTACATTTGGCGGAGCAACTGGCTTCGAGATAGTTAAGACAGCATCGCTCGAAAAGCTCGTGTGCCTCAACGTGAAGAAGTGCCCATACGTGGCGTTTCACGTTCCGGATGCTGCAGAAAATGGCAGCCCTCGAGGTGGTGGATCATCTACTGAGCTCTAGCACCAGGACAGCCCACCCAGGTAGAGACTGCCCTTGCCCAGGCACCGGCTGAGCCCAGCTCCCAGCCTCGCGCTGAATATCCTGTTGCTTTCTGCAGGGAGCAGCGGGGAGACAGGGTCCTGCCCACCCCTGTGCCGAGCAGGACAGAAGATGGTCCCATCCTGGGTGTCCTCCACACCAGCCCCCAAGGAGAGGCTGGTATCAGCTCTGTGAAAAGCTTGAGTGCCTCAGGAGCGTGGCTGCCACTGCTGTCCTCAGCAGAACGAATTCTCTTGCTAGTGAATACCTTGCACTAAGCCAGCTTTGGGGTTCCCCAGGGGACGCCCGCCTCCCTGGGACATTCTGGACTCCCCTGCGCTTTGTCACCCTCCACCCCCGCTGCTTTCCAGCACCAGGCCACCAGCAGCCCCTCTTCTGCAGAGCTTCCCTGCGCCGGACAGAGGAGCGCAGAGCGTGGGGAGCCCTCGCAGTCCTTCCTCTGCTGCACCGGGTGAAGGCGCCGAGCTCCCCGAGGGAGGCAGAGGCGGCAGGTGGCAGCACGCAGAGGGACGTGCGGGACACGCTGCTGTGGTCACGCTGGCCCAGCAGTGGCTGAGCTTGCAGCAGGAACCTGCCCTGATCCACTTCTGCAGCCGCTCCGGACCGTCCACCCCAGCCTGCCCAGCAGATGGGCATCACTGAGGCACAGCCAAGAAGGAACCAAAGCAACGTCTCTGCGGGAGGACACCAGGGGAGGAGCATCAGGTCAGACCTCCCAGACCTCCTGCTGGCTCGGGCTCGGGCACGGACCACCGGCTGCCCACGCTGGGCTGCTTGGAGCAAGATGCTACTTCTGTGCAAACAGCGATGAAGCCTCTTCCATCCTACGATCGTTACACTTCCTTCGTTAATAGCTCAGCAAATGGCGTCCCCAAGGCACACAGAGCTCGCTTCTGTCCTGCTCCAGAAACACACGCAGATGTCAACCCTCACCGTCATAATGACATATAGCTGGCACCCACCGTCACTGGCCTTGATCCCCATCAGATACTGGTTCACCTCCAGGAAAATGGACATTTAAAATAATAAATGATTTTAAAAACTCCTCAGATTTCCTCCAGCTGGTTTCCAAGCTTTTGTCTCACCAGCGCCAGGCCCTGCAAGAGGGCAGGACACTCAGGAGGCAGCAGGAGCTGAGGGAGAGGAGAAGTCCTGGGAGCATTGCTGGAAGGCTGGTGTCCCTGCTGGGACACGGCTGGGCCACGCAGCCGGCGCGGGCCGAGCCCACCAGTGCTGTGCCATGTCATTGCCGACTGCATCAGAAGAAATCAATGGAGCAACCCTCCTCCTTAGGAGGTGCTTTGGTGGGGGATCTCTGAGCTTGAGTCTCCTGTGAAGGTCTGAGCTGTGCTGCCCTCCACCACCCCACAGCCCTGCGCTGCTCTGATGCCAACACAGCGCTTACGTCCAACATGATGTATTGCTGTCCCATAAAGTCTTTATCCACACGTGAATCTTGCTGGCCCGGTATTTTGTGAGCACGAAATGGCCACAGTCTGTAAGAGAGCAGATGGCTGCGGTTTCTTCCTGTGCTGAGCCGGAGGAGGGGACCGCTCCTGGGCTCCTGCCGTATCCCGGCAGGACTTCCACCCGGCAGGGTGACTTCATGCCATGAGGCCATGGGGGCTGCGCTGCTCCCGGCCAGACCCTCCTTGTGGGGTTGTCCACCCTGGGCACTGCTGGCTGCTCGTCTGCCCACCACACAAAGCCATGGGAGGCAAGAGGAGAACTAGAGCAGGGAGTCCTGGTCCACGGCGCTGGCCCGAAACCTGGGGCCAAGGCAGACATGACATCTCCAGGCAGACGCAGCCCCCTCTGTACTCTCTGTTGCCATTCCCTAGCGGGGCACGAGGATGGATGGGGGTGTTGGCCATTTGGGGAGGGAGTGATGATCCTGTGATGTCCCACCTTCTGCCCTGGAAGTTTCAATCATTTCTGGTTGCACCAGCTGATTTTTTTATCCCTGGTAAACCAAGTATGTCATGATCCAAATTCCTCAAGAGGGGGTTGTGAGGCGCTTCCAGGCAATAATAAAACCGGTTATAGGGAGGTGTTACAGGAATTTTAAACCAGGGAGAATTAAAGAGCTTGTGCCTTGGCAGGGATGCATTAGGAGGACGTCATAGCAAGGGAACTTCTGCAAGCAGGGACCCCCAAGGCAAGAGCCTTCTCAGTCACTGTCTTTAACCTTTCAGAAATGAGGTGGTTTTACCAGATATCATCTGGATTTCAGTCTTCTAACGGCACACAGGGAGGCAGAGAGGCAGCCCCAACCCACGAAGGCGCAGCGGGCAGGTTTGCCTGCTGTGTGCTCACCTGGGTTGGCCCTGCCCTGCCTGTGCCCTGCCCAGCCGTCCTGGCACGTAGAGACCCCAGTCCTACCGCTCCTGTGCAGCCCACAGCACCGTGTAGCGCCGAAGCGCTGAGTGGCAAAGCCAAGAGGAGGACACAGTCCTTTCCCACCCCACACTTTCCTTTCCCCAGCTTTCCCCTTCTGGGGCGGGAACCCAGCACGCAGCGGTGACGCTGTGCCCAGGTACCACAACGACCAACACCTCCCGACAGCTTGTTACGTGGCAGCAGTGGGGGTCTCTCCCCCAGGGTCTGCCCTGCCACCGGCTGTAC